CTCCGTTGGCCAGATCACAAATCTGTCTGTAGTCCATATTTGTTTTTCCGGGCTACATGCAAATCAGTGTGCTGATCCCAATCCAGTTCAGAAGTTATTGCTAACTTACGAGGAGCTGTTTTGCTAAAAATGCCAGAGGAATAATTATCGAGGGGCACCATGATGTAACCCACAAGGATTACATTGCAGTTCTGTTACGGTGCCGCCGACTGCAGTGTTCGCTCAATGCTGGGCCAATTGGGGAAAAAATGTTTCCCAAATAGTCACAGAGAGACACAAACATGGGGAATGAAGGTCCGTATAGAAATATACCGAAATGACCCTTTAATTCGACTCCATTTGTCAAACTGTTGTTTCTTTCTGCTGTTACAGTCATTTACATGCTGGTGCTGGATGGACTGGCGTGGGCGCTGTGAGCAACGGGAGCATGGTGGAGGCCGGTCAGGGAGTCAACGGGACGGTGCTAACCAACCAGGCTGGCATGGGCACTGCGGGCTACCACACCCACTGATCACTGGTCACAGTAGTCCTCTCTAAGCCTCTAAAGCCACACGGATGATACTCTGGTGGGGAAAGGAGTGCATTAGATGTGCTCTCTCCCTTACCACACAAAGTTATTCTGTTAGGGAGGCCGGTACGCCATTTTTATCAACCTTACCAGCCCATAAACTCACCCACTGCCCAAACCTGCAAGTGTTAAGAAAACAACCCACTTCAGAACACTTTTAAAAACAGCCACCGCTAATGCACCTTGCATTCCTGGGCCCATTTTATTGTTTGGCGTATTTTTGTAATGCCTGCAGATAACTGGCCAAATGTAAATTATACGACCGTGTCAAGATATTTCTAGCACAGCCACAATTTAGGTTAAAAGGAAATATTGTTCAGCTAAATAAAAATATAGTAAACACCAGGTATTGTTTGTTTTCAGCCACCCAGAGCCAAAGAGCAAGGGCAGAATTTTATACCAATGTTTAACAATCACACAGGGAGAAGAGGCTTCCAACCTTGTCACAGAAAGCGCTCGATAGTCCATAGTAATGTAATATATTGATTAAGGGGTGCGATTTTTAAATTCTTCTCAATTGGAACCTCTTTCTCTGACTGTTGTGGTCGTGTCCACCTGTTACCGAAGTGAAATACGAGTCCGAGCAAGTTCAAGTCATTCTGTGAAACGTTGGAGGGTCTCTGAGTTAGATGTAGGCAGGTTGAGGAATAGTGGACACCACAAAACATGTAAAATTGCAGCGCTCCTTCACTTCATCTCCCGGAACGGACCGAATGGACCGAGAATCCAGTCTGTGGATGAGAAACGTGTGTGTGCGCTTGCGTGTGTGTGTGTGTGTGTGCATGAACTGATGCTTTTACACACACGACAACGTCCAGTTCATCTTCCCCTGAAACAGAAAGGACTGCGCCATCTTTTTTCTTTTTTTTCTTTTTTTTTCTTTGGGCTGTCATTTTCAAGTGTCATTGTCTTTCTTTTTTTTGGGCGGGGAGGGTTTGAGCAAGTTTAAAATGCTGACATTGTATAAAGAGCTTTTTGCCTTTTTGTTTTTCTGTTTCATTTCGGGACTGTCTTATAAAGAAATGTTGCAGTGACACCATCGAATCATGTGACACGTGAGACCTTTTTTTATGTTTGTTTATAAAACATTAAGTGGCTGTCAACTGTCAACTTTATTTTTTAAATTAGATTTTCAATATCTCCAATCAATTGCAGGGATTACTGCCACTCTTATCTTACTTACTTACAGGCAGACAGATATTGCACAACTGCTTAAGGTTATCTTTTCACAAAATTTGAAATACTAAGGTTTTTTTTTTTTTTTTTGCATTCCACTTTCTTTTGTAATTTCCTTTTGGAAGTCTGCTTTATGTAACAGTCTGTTCAATTGTACTGAATCTGTATAAAGACAACATGTTAATTAAGGAAGCCTGCTAGCTTCTGGTTGGGTAATGGCTTCCAGAAACAGCTGTTTGACAGTAGCACCCCTGTCCTGTGCTGGTCCGTGTACAGTAGTGCAACATTTGACTCTTCCAGAGGCTTGGAGGATAAGCAGCGTTGCCATGCAATGCAGAAGTCTTTCGATCGACAAGTAATGCATAATTTAAGTTATTCTGTTGTAAACCTCAGTAACAATTGCTTTTATAGATTAAGAAACAACCTTTCGAGGATCAGATTTTTGCACTGTGGCCACCATCGTTTTTAATATAGTTGGGAAAATCCGTTGTGTTGCCTTATTATCAGTGAGTTACTTTTAATTTAACCAAAAATCATCCAAGAGTAGGCGGTGCCTAAGAATGTTTTCAACCTATGTTTTGGCGAGAGAAGTTCTGTTGATGCTTCAGTAACATGGTTTGAGTTTTTGCTTTGTCCCATTAAAATGCTGATGCTTGAAACAGCTGTTTGAATCGCATCTTGAAAACCAGGTGGAGAGTGCAGCACAGGGAATGGAGGGTTTGACACAACATTGCTTATTGTGGTGACTTTTATTTACAGCGCACTCCTGTAGAAGTCTCATGTGCGTACGTGATCTAAAAGTCACATAGTAGTGAGATCTTATTTTCAGGATTAAGTACAGGCCTAAAACTGCTGGGTATTTTCAGGATTAAATGATGAATTGTTTAGTCTGTGAAATGTCAAAATAAAGTTTACAAAAAAATAGCTCCTCACAATTTCTCCAAGCCCAAATGTTTTGTTTTGTCTGATCAAAGTTTCAAACCCCAAATATGTTCAGTTTACTCAAATATATGACAAGGAAAAGCAGCAAATCTGCATTTTCAGAAGCTTTGGAATGGAATATTTGCTATGGATCAATAACTTCTTCTCTATAGTACAATACGCTGTTTGTCTTGTGCTGTTGGACAAGAAACCACTTTGAATATTAAATTAAATGCCATTGTGTTCATACTTGTATTTAAATGTGCCATTAAAAACATTGAGTATTTAGTTCTCCACCTGAATGTATTTCTGGCTGGAGTGAATTTTTAAAAACCATTTAGACCTTCAAAAAAAACTCCGTCCTTGAATGTTTCTTGAACATGGAGACAAAAGTTACAAGACCGTTATTTTAATTGGACTTAAGTTAGATGTTATGTGATTAACAGCTCTTATTAAGAAAGAATGTCAAAAAACTCACTGGTTTCAACATCTGAAATGTAATGATTTGCTGCTTTTCTCTGTTATATCACTCTAAATTGAATATATTTAGTTTTTTGACTGTTTGTCGGACTCCAGCTGTCATCTTGGACTTGGAGGGACTGTGAACACTGTTTTCTGACAAATAACCTCAAATTAATCAATTCATCAAAAAAAGTCACTAGATTAACAGACAATGAATTACTGACAAAAACTTTTATATAAGGTGACCCCTGCCTTATTAGCTGATCTTGAAGCCCCATCTTCTGAAAAGGCCCTGAGTCAAACATAGTTTAAAGGCGTTTATTCAACTAAATACATCTGTGCTAAAACAAGTTTTTTTTTTTTATATATACACACACAGAGAGAGAGAAATGGGAGAAATTGAATGGTCAATATAGGACCACAGATTTTGCCCCAGGGACCCCAAAGGCGGTTAATCCGAGGTTATAAGCAGTTGTTGACCAGAATAATGATTAAACTAAAAGGAATTAACATCTATGTGTATGAGAGTCTACAGCCATGCTAGCAGCTCTGTGAGGCTTTATTTTGGGGCAGTGGTACTTTAAGATAAATGCTAGTATGCTCTCAATAACAATGCTAACATGCTAATGTAGCACATGCAAGCGTAATGTTTAACCTGTTCACCATCTCAATTTATCATGTAAGCATGCTAACATTTGCTACAGCCAAACTTTATTTACCTGTATGATGTAAATACTAGCAGGAACAATTAAGGTGAATTCATAGATAAAAAAGAACACAAACAGCAAGGCTACAACAGTCATAAACTAGCAGTAAATATATGTGTCAACGTACAGTTAAATACTATCTTTACCCATAATGATAATAGTATTAACCATGTAAGATATTTCTTAAGAGATTATCTGTATAAACTAGAAATAAGAATACATGGAACATTTGAATATAAAACATGTTCATTGATACTTTAAGGCAGAAACAACAGATAAACCTCAAACTGGAATCTTCCTTTTAAAAGAAACTTACGCTGGACAGTATCTATTGTTGATTTGAAATTGTACATGTTCAGCCTTTGGAGAAATCAGCTATTTTATATTGTAGTAGCTAATTATCTGAGATTGATATACAGTTGTCACTTTCTTTTATTTGAAATGCAAAATACAGCTGAGGCTGTTGTGGATACTTTGACTCATGACTAAATGAGCTACAAATCAAGAGTAAAGCAGTGGCACCACCATTACATACTGTTAAGCTTTAAAGTCTTGCATTCAAAACAAAGAACACAAGTATTGTCATTCAAATATACTATGTTTTATCACTGTATTATAATGATTGATGTATTTGTGTGTACATGGCTAATTTTAAACTGCTGGGTAGCTTAATTCTTCATGATGTATTAGTTGATTTAGGCTGTATTTTGTATTAATAATCTGAAAGGAATGCAAGCTAGCAAAGCAATTAGTATAATTTATGTTGGCAAATCATTATAGTGGTGTAAAAGGTACAATGTAGTATATTAGAAGTATAAAGTAGCATAAAATAGAGATATTTAAGTGAAGTACAACTACCAAAGAAGATGTACTTGTACTGTACAGTACTTGCATGTATTTAGTATCATTCCACTGCTGATACAGGCTTTATTAAATATAATCCAACACAAAATACCTAATAATATTTCAAATACAGTGGAAATTGATGTATTATAAAAACGTTTTCTTAGTTTCTTGCTTTTAAAAAGACCAATATCGACAAGAAAACACCTGAAAACTAATGGAAACTCAAGCTGCTAGCCGAGCTATATAAACCACATTTCCCATGATCCAGCGCTCCAAGTGAGGCCGCACCTACTTGCCCACGTGATCGCCTCCGACCAATGGGGAGTGTCGTTACAGGCGCAATGCGGTTGTCGGGATGTAAGGAGGAATGGCGACGGTCGAGACGGCATTGGAGGCCAGAGCAGAGCCGAGCGCGACCAAACAGAAGCGGATCACAGGTAGTCTGAACATTTGCTTTAAGAAACACACACAGTTGGATAATGTGTGACCCAGGTGCTGTCGTTTACACCGAGGTGGTGCCGGAACTTTAGCACGTCACACATATTTGCAGCAGGATGCAGTTGCAAAGCATTTTAACTGGTACAGTGGTAGCAAAAACTTAAGAAGGCAATAAATAAAGTTTAATATTTCATTTTTATTTTGTAAGAAAAAACATTTTTTTGATTCAAGATATGTAGTCACATTTTATTGTTTTGTATGTTTTGTATTATGAGCCTCGGTGTAGCATGTTTTTAAATAGTACCTGACTGTATAGTTTTTACATTTACTTTAATATACTTTTTTTTTTGTTCTGCATGCTTAACGTCATTTTAATGTTATATTTTATTTTTAGAGTGACTCTAACATCTGTTCAGGGACTACAGCTGACAAATAGCTTCTTGGCTAACTGTGGCTTGTCTCTAGGTTATCTTCTGGGTATAAACTAACTACTAATTGTAATGATTGGTAATGGCTTTCTTCACAGTTCAAATTGCAAAAGTAATAGAAGAGAGGAAGATGTTCGGCCTCTGTGTAGATATCAATTTCTAAAGTAAAGAAAACTGTCTTTTTGAGGTAAGTCTCACAGAGGAAGTAATAACATCAGTAGGTTATAAGCTGTAGGTGGGTGATTGTAACATATTGACCCAGGGAAAAATATATTGAACATTTGATCAAGGGAAACAACATTGTTGAAAAAATAAAACCCTTTAATGTGGCACTTTAAACGGATATTGAGAGCATATACGCGCCCCTCTCTGTGCATTTCGGACAGTGTTTATTAATGTGCATTATCCCCGTTAAATAAACCAGTAAATGAGGGATCTCCACAGATATTTATTTGTTTTCCTTTTCCCACTTTTTAAAGGTTTGAATCCCCTCATCTCCAGCTAAACTCTTAGTGAAAGAGAGCCCCAAAAAATGGAAACTGAAGTGACTGTGTCCTCCTCATCGAGCTTGGTCTCCTTCTCCGCCCCGCAGACTTCGACCACCCAGGCCGTTCTGGCAGCAAAGCAGAGAGACAGCAGAAAGACCACATCCGCAACTCCCGCCTTCCTCTCCAACCTGGGCCGGGCCACCTTACGGGGCATTCGCAAGTGTCCACAGTGCGGCGTCTACAACGGCACCCGCGGGCTTAGCTGTAAGAACAAGGCCTGTGGGATTTCCCTCAGAAATGCTTCAGCGGCAGGCAGGACCAGCAAGAGATGTGCCGTGGAGGTGGTGAAAGTGATAATAGACAGTGAGGAGAGAGGGGGGAAAGAGCACAAGGGCGGAGGAGGAGGAGTCCTGGTTGGTGGCTCAGGTGGAGGAGTGCAGGTCTTTTCAGTGTGTCATAAAGGAAGAGGAGCCACGGCTACGCAGCTGGGCTTTGTTGAACTCGTTCCCACTGATACTGCTATAGCGACAGGCGACGGAGCAACCCTTCTCACCCGCATCAACTTGGGCCGCTGCTTTTTGCCTTCTTGCAGGCAGGGTCAAAGGTCAAATCAGGGCGAGTCAGAATCGGCGGTGGCCAGTTCCAAACAGTCGTCCGACAGCCTCTGCATCCACATCAAGCAAGCCATCGAGTGTGGGAGCCGGGCCACCCCGCTGACCTTAAAGAGCTCCGTCTTGGAGGGTTTGCAGGCCTCCATTCAAGCCAGGGAGGAGCTGTGGAGGCTGGCCACTGAGTCTCCAGGGCCCCTGGTGCAACGCGTTGCCAAAGACACCCTGGTGGTTAAGTGCCACACAGATTCACAGCATCCTCTGGGTCTGCTGCATCTCACTGTAGGTGCAGGTGGGCTGTCTGAGGTTGTGAAGAGCGAGAGAAGGAACAGAGAGCAGCAACATGCCGTTTTCCACTGCGCCTGTCAGGTTAGCAGCAGCAGCAGCAGCAGCAGAAGAAGTAAACCTGGTGTCGACGGAACAGGCGGATCCACCAACTCTCATCCTCCTCACGGCTCGGCCACGTCACAGCCCTGCCTTCACTTCTATGCCTGCGTGTGCGCCTTTGCAAGCGATGAGAAACTGGCTTCAGAGTTTGCTGCTTTCATCAACTACACGCCCAGCGGTACGGTAACTGAGCCTGACTTCATGCGTCAGTTTCATATTTTAAAGTAGTTGTTTGGCATTTTGGAAAATACACTTATTTGCTATCCTGCTGAGAGTTAAATGAGAGTCTTCACTCTCACAACCTCGCAGTGATGAAAGATATTATCCATCATATAACTCCCAGTAAAACCTGCACCTCGTTGTTTTTTAAACTTTGATCTTTGCAATATATTTTTATGGAAATAAATGTTTTTTTTCTGTCTAATTCTACAGTCCTGCGATAAATCCTCCCTCAATGAAGACTATAATGTTCAGTTGTTTAAATTGCTTTTGTTTGTGTTATTTAGCCTAATTGATATAAATGGGGTGGGCAAAAAAATCAAACCACCTCTCAGTATAACTCCGTACAATTCAGCAGCACCACAAACTGCAGCCTCCAAAAATGATCATACAGTTGAATCAACACCTCTCTAAAACTGTTTCTTTATTGTAACCTTGATGCAGGGGTGTTGAATCAGACCGCACTGGTTTTAGCTAGGTGTGCCTGACAAACTGGCAACTACAAGTGTTTAAACCTAACTCACCCTCCTAGAATCCCCATCTTGATCTTAACATCAAGATCCCAAATATGAATTAACTCCCACCCTGAGATTATCCACAGACACAGACTCCAGATGGAGGTAAAACTTAGACCTAGTGCTGAAACAATTAGTTGGTTCTTTGATTAGCTCTTCAATCTTGTACTTTTTTTGTAATTATTAGTTTGTTCTTGTGCTGATTTTACCATTGGACAGAGGCATGCTAACTGTTTCCCCCTCTTTACAGTCTTTATGCTAAACTAAGCTAAGCTAATTGTTAGTGTCTCTACTCTCAGCAAGAAAGCAAATAATAACAGTTCCTTTCATGTATTACTTGGTTCAATACAACCAGGGTGCAAAATTTACTTTTTGTCCACCAGCCAATGGCTTGTGAATGCCCAAAGTCTACCAGCCACTCAATAGATTACCGTTGTGTTTTTGGCTGGTGAGTAAAGTAAATTTAGCAGCCATTTGCATATTTGACCAGCATTTGGCTGATGGCTGGTGCTAATTTTGGACCCTGAATACAACCCATTGCTCAACATGTCTTTCTCCGTGCTTTTCCTTTCAGGTGTGCAGCAAAACGCCACCAGCCGAGTTATAAGTCCCAGTGAGAAGCTTCTGCAACAGGTCGAACCGTTCAACTCGCATCATAAAACAAAGAAACTTCGCCTGGATGAATCTCTCTCTGGTGCTTTCATTGTGATACTTCCTGACAGATTTATTACAAGCATTTATGTCTCGTTAATGCAGGTTGATTCTCCAAAGCATGTTTGTCTGAATCTTCCAATGTCCTCCCTCCTTTTTCTATCTTTATCTTTCCCGATCTGTCGTTCTTTCATTTCCTGCCTCTGTGCAGCCCCCTCAGTGGCCTCTCGCTCTGGGGTGGGGAAAGAGGGAGCGTCAGCCTCCGGCCCGAGGAAAGCTGGTCAGAGGAAAGCCCCCGGTGCTGGTGGGCTGAAGGCTCCAGGTGCTGCCTGCCTCCCCGCCTGCCTGTCTCCCCTTCCTGCCTTTTCAAGATTCTGCTGCCTAAATCTGTCTGTCAAAGAGCCTTACATCGTCTTAGACATCTGCCTCTATCTTTATCATCCCTCTGTCTAATCCCGCAGCACTAATCCTGATCCACTATTGCAAAGAACAGGGTCGCCACTGTAGTCGAGCATATATTAACATTTAATTTGTGACGGACAAAAACATTTCCAGGCTTTTTAATTAAATTTGACAGGCTACAGCTGGACAGACTTAAAGACTAAATGTCTGGAAGGTGGGTGGTCCGCCTAGAGTGTTTGTTATTTTGCTTGATCTTCTAATCTGTGTGTGCACATCTCAGGGAGTACCCAGGTTGTGGATGAGTGTACAGTGACAATGGGTTTCCACCAGTGGCTGGCCGGTGTCACAGAGAGGATCCACCAGACAATGCACTACCAGTTTGATGGTAAAGCTGAAGCTTGTTTAGTACACTTACTACATTTAACCATATAGTAAAAGAAAAAGTTTGACATTTTGGGAAATACACTTGAAGATCAATACCACCCTCTTGTGTACTAAATATGAAACTACAAGCTTAGCTTAGCTTAGCATTTAGACTGGGGACAAGGGGAAACAGCTGGCATCAACATGTTATATATCATCTGTTTAAAATGTCCTAAAACTGAAGTGTAAAAATTACAAGTTGTAGTTTTCAAGGGATTATGTGCCAGGTGCACCTGGCTGTAGGCTTATATTGCATGGATAGGTATTAGTGGTATTACAAAGCGTATTACCTAAAAGGTCTAACTATTCCTTTTTAATAAATGGGCTTAATGGATAATTCTTACAACCTGTAAGATTGTACATACGTCTTATTGGTCCTCAGTACTTAGACTTTAAGTCAAGCAGAGTGCCGTCCATGCTGTTGCAGCAGAGCATATGCCATCTTGGTTCTATGCCATTAGTTAAACATTTTTAACTCAAAACACCACATTTTCAAATCCTATGTACAGTTTATGTGACATTTAGCCCTTGTTTTTTAATTGTTTCTAGGCAAAGCCTTTCCGGCCTCCTTCGCTGACCTCCTGTCCATAAATGCTGTCCGCAGGAATGTGTCCATGGACAGGAGGCCAGCCGGGGACCGTGTCCTTGGTTAAGGCAATTGAGATTGACAATATACATCAGTGTTTAAGGTTTAGGTCATGTGTGATGGATAGAGTAAACTATTTAACATGGTTAAGGATTGGATTTATATTTGCAGGCCTCCACCTGCTCCCCAGGGGTCCTAGGGATCAAGAGGGTTAAACCTGTTTGTTCTCACAGAGCAGGAGGTTCAGTAAAGGAGGCCACTCACATGTGTTAATCTCTGCAGGATGACTGGCTTTCGTTGCTTGTTTCACAGAGTAAAAAACTTACTTTTCCATCAGGGAAACCACAACCTCTGGTGTACCACATTCCCCAGGAGTTCTTCAACGCTCTGCAGCATCGTCTGTCGCTGGGCTCCAAGAAGAAGAGACTGCCTAACTTCACAACAGGTGGAACAATTCAAATCATTTACTAAATTATCTTGGACAAATATTTAAATTAGACATCACTTCACATTACCTGGTAATCGAGAGCTACACGTTTTGCATCACACCCAGATATCTTAGCTAAACACAGAAATGGACAGTAAGTAGATTTAGAAGTACTAGAATAATTATGTTGTACTTTACTTATTTCTATTTTAGGCTACTTTACACTTCTACTTCACCTACATTTCAGAGGGAAATAGTTTACTTTTTAAAACAGCATTGATCTGAAAGCTGAAATTACTTTGCAGATGAAGATTTTACAAACAAATGATAATCTTATAAAGTGCAAAGCTTCGTTAAAGCTTAAACCAGCAGCTCCCAACCCTTTTTTGGCTTGTGAAACCTCACAAGAAAGCAGCATCTGATTGCGTCCCGTTGTTACGTTTTCTACGAGCACTTCCCCTCCAAACTTCTCACATGGTTCATTAAATTTCTTTTAATAATGAAATGTCCAGTGACAAAAAAAAAAATCATAATCAGTCACATTGGACACATTTCTGCACAACCAGTCGTTTTACTTTTGATACTTTGAGTAAATTTTGCTGACAATACGTCTGTACTTTTAGTTAGTTGAATGAAGGACTTTTACTTGTAATGGAGTAATTTTACATCTCTGTATCAGTACTTATACTTTTTTTTTAATCAAGGATCTGAATACTTCTTCCACCACTGACTGAACAAACCACAAATATGTGAACAAATATAGATGTTCAGGTTACTTTATTTGTAAGCATAGGTCTTCGCAGTGGACGAGTCAGCAGTAGACACCAAACAGTAGACAGTATACAGTAAATGAAACAATCTCTCTGTCTCTCTTTGTGTGGATGTCAGCCTTTGTGAGAAACGATGGACTTCCCCTCGGCTCTTTCTCCAAGTACACCTGGCACATCACCAATCTCATGCAGCTCAAACGCATCTTTGACACCCCGGAGGTAAACACTCCCTCCTTTCCTCTCTCTCTTATGCAAAGGGTGTAACTTCCACTGGGGGTTGTAGTTACACCCTTAGATTTATATTTTTTTACTTTAATTTTCTTAGTAAAACTTCTCTAAACATTGTGACAGTCCAGCTCCAAAAAGGAGCGAAGATAAGACTTGAAATGTTGATAAATTCATCTGTTACCTCCAGTTATTACTAATGAGAACCACCAACTCATAGACTTTCTTTAGCCCTGGGTTTCGCTCCTCAGGCTTCACAAAGGCTGCTCAGCCTTACTGGTGGAAGGCTGTTTGGGCCGTACGCTCAGAGTAACGGCCAATGTTCACAGCATCCGGCTCCAGCAACTGTAGATGATTCGCTGCCACTCTAGCTGGTTAGGTGACAACCGAACAAGACTGAAATTTGATAGCAGCTCATAAATACAAAATGTTGACCAGACTAAACTATAATAATTAAACGAACACGACATCGTCAGACAAAATAAACATTATTGTTATTATTATTATTATTGTTATTATTATTATTATACTGACTTTTAAAATGAGTGATGATAGAGAAGGTTTGAAGCTGCTGTATTTATGCTTGTAAAGCACGACAAACAACTATAGTATAACAACAAATTAGAATGTGGCTGCCATAGAACTGAAAGGTTTCCAGTGAACATTAAAGTCAGCTGGATGCTGTGTGCATTCGGCGTGAGACTGTAGACACTACTTAAAACACTGCCATCTTCTTTCAGGTAAAGAAAAACTAGACAGACTTAACATCAAATAAAGACAAGGCAGTAATGGACAGTGTCTTTGTAGTAAAGATGCAAATACAATATGAACTAACATCAGGTCTCTATCAAGGAAATCAAAAATTTTAAGTCGAGTTAATGCATTAAGATGTATCTTTTTGCTGTGGTACCATTATTATGGAAAACATGAGAACCAGCTCACCATGACTTTAGGATTATAAATTATATTATGCTACACATATATTATCCCTCTCCACCTCACCGTCTGCCCACCAGCTGCCTCTGGAGCTCTCTCAGAGTTTTGTGAAGAACGTTGATGGCTCCTATTCATGTTTTCGCTGCCCTGAGCCGCCGCCTGAACCAGAGTTACCAGAAGGATACAGGACAGATCGGCCGCAGGCCATACGACCGATGGAGCTCCGCACCTTCTTCAAAGTCGGTGAGTTGTTTTTTTTGGTCACAACAGCATCAAGAAGTCAGTCTGCACAGCTGTAGTTACACTGTCAAATAGAATCAGAATCAGCTTTATTGCCAAGTAGGTTTACACATAAAAGGAATTTGCTTTTGTGTTTTGGTGCACAACAATAAACATAGTAGGTAGTACAATATAAGAATGATAAAGATAGAGCGAGTACTGTGGATGAAGTAATTATAAAGATTTAATGTAAAATTTACAACACATTAAAATATAATAAAAGATATGTACAATATGGCTGTTTAAATTACAGTTAGTGCAGGGAGAACAACACACACCAAAACACAGGCAGCCATCAGCGGCTTCTTCTTGGTTTCTTTGTATACTAGATACTTTATATAGTCAAATTAACGGAAACCCCAGAAAATAAGAGTAGAGAAACATGTTAAATGCAGATCTGTTTTGCACCAGGGCTCATTGAATAGTTTGGTGAGCTTTACAATGATGTGAATAAAATGCTACGGCCTTACTCACCTGATCTCAACCCAGTTCCACACTTGATTTTGGACCAACGTGCAAGACAATGCTCTTCACCACCATCTCCATATACTATATACTTACCTAAAGGCAGTCATATAATTAGAATATCATCAAAAAGTTGATTTATTTCAGTAATTCCATTCAAAAAGTGAAACTCATAAGTGTTCATTCCTTTTAATTTTGATGATTATAACTGAAAAATAATGAAAACCCCAAAATCAGTATCTCAGAAAATTTGAATTTTGTGAAAAGGTTCAATATTGAAGACACTGCTAAAGAGGCTGGCTGTTCACAGAGCTCTGTGTCCAAGCACATTAATAGAGAGACGAAGGGAAGGAAAAGATGTGGTAGAAAAACGTGTACAAGCAATAGGGATAACCGCACCCTGGAGAGGATTGTGAAACAAAACCCATTCAAAAATGTGGGGGAGATTCACAAAGAGTGGACTGCAGCTGGAGTCAGTGCTTCAAGAACCACCACGCACAGACGTATGCAAGACATGGGTTTCAGCTGTCGCATTCCTTGTGTCAAGCCACTCTTGAACAAGACACAGCGTCAGAAGCGTCTCGCCTGGGCTAAAGACAAAAAGGACTGGACTGCTGCTGAGTGGTCCAAAGTTATGTTCTCTGATGAAAGTAAATTTTGCATTTCCTTTGGAAATCAAGGCCCCAGAGTCTGGAGGAAGAGAGGAGAGGCACAGAATCCACGTTGCTTGAAGTCCAGTGTAAAGTTTCCACAGTCAGTGATGGTTTGGGTGCCATGTCATCTGCTGGTGTTGGTCCACTGTGTTTTCTGAGGTCCAAGGTCAACGTAGCCGTCTACCAGGAAGTTTTAGAGCACTTCATGCTTCCTGCTGCTGACCAACTTTATGGAGATGCAGATTTCATTTTCCAACAGGACTTGGCACCTGCACACAGTGCCAAAGCTACCAGTACCTGGTTTAAGGACCATGGTATCCCTGTTCTTAATTGGCCAGCAAACTGGCCTGACCTTAACCCTATAGAAAATCTATGGGGTATTGTGAAGAGGAAGATGTGATACGCCAGACCCAACAATGCAGAAGAGCTGAAGGCCACTATCAGAGCAACCTGGGCTCTCATAACACCTGAGCTGTGCCACAGACTGACTCCATGCCACGCCGCATTGCTGCAGTAATTCAGGCAAAAGGAGCCCCAACTAAGTATTGAGTGCTGTACATGCTCATACTTTTCATGTTCATACTTTTCAGTTGGCCAACTTTTCTAAAAATCCTTTTTTTGTATTGATCTTAAGTAATATCGTAATTTTCAGAGATACTGAATTTGGGATTTTCATTAGTTGTCAGTTTTAATCATCACAATTAAATGAAATAAACATTTGAAATATATCAGTCTGTGTGTAATGAATGAATATAATATCCAAGTTTCACTTTTTGAATGGAATTACTGAAATAACTCAACTTTTTGATGATATTCTAATTATATGACCAGCACGTGTGTGTGTGTGTGTGTCTATATAAATGAGGGAATGTATTGTAGAGGAATGGTGTTCATATCTCCAGTAGACTTCCAGAGACTTGGCAAGGAGCCCTGAAGCTGTTATGGAGCATTGTGGTGGCTTGACTCCATATTGAGATGCAGATTTCCATATTGATTGGTTTTTCCTTTAATTTGTCACCCGTCTGTGTCCCGGCAGGACCAGGCTCAGCAGATCAGAAGGAGGCCAGTCCGTTTGTGATCGAGTGGATCCCGGGCGTCCTCCCTCGCTGTCAGATGGGAGAGCTCAGGATTAGCTTTGAATTTGGCCACCAGCAGAGCGGTCAGCCGGAGCACTGTGAGAAAATGAGCGCGGCAGAGAAAGGAGGTCATAACAAGTCGGACTCAACCCAACCTAAGCACACAAAGACAGTGTCCTCCTTATGACACAGTAACCAGTGTTAACACGTGCAATACAGGTGCATCTTCAACAATTTGAATATCGTGGAAAAATAAATTTTTCATGAAACCTTTGTATATTCTAGATTCATTAAAGTGAAATATTTCAAGCCTTTTTATTTGTTTTAATCTTGATGATTTCGGCTCATGGAGAGCAAAACTCCAAATCTCAAAATATTAGAATTTTAGAATAAAGAATTTACACAGAAACGCAGAAATGTCGACCTGAGAAGAGCACTAATCAGCTAATTAACTCAAAACACCTGCAAAGGTTTCCTGAGCCTTTAATCTCTCTGTCTGGTTCAGTACACACAATCACAATCACAGAGAAGACTTCTGACTTGACAGTTTGTCCATAAGACACTCATTGACACCCTTCATGTCATTGCTGAAAGGGCCGGCTGTTTGCAGAGTGCTGGTTCAAAGCATATTTATGGAAAGAACAATAAAACTGGAAGGTTAAAGTGTGGTAGGGAAAGGTGCACAAGTAACAGCCTTGAGAGGACTGTCATGCAAAGGTCATTCAGGAACAAGGAGTGAACTGAGGCTAGAGTCAGCGCATCAGGAGTCACCAGGCACAGATGGGTCCAGGTAATGAGCTACAAGTGTCACATTCCTAGTGAACCAGAACCAGCCTCCTGAACCACAGACCACGTCAGAAGCGTCTTGGGCTCAGGAGAAACAGAACTGGACTGTTGCTCAGTGGTCCAAAGTCGTCTTCTTTTTTCAAGTGAAAATAAATTTTACATTTCATTTGGAAATCAAGTTCCCAGAGTCTGGAGGACGAGTGGAGAGGAATCACAGAATCCACGTTGCTTGAAGTCCAGTGTGAAGTTTCCACACTCAGTGATGATTTGAGGTGCCATGTCATCTGCTGCAGTTGATCCACTGTGTTTTATCAAGTCCAGGGACAATGCAGCGTCTACCAGGATAATTTAGTACTTCAGGTGTCCATCTGCTGAATAGCTTTTTGGAGATGCTGATTTCCTGTTCCAGCAGGACTTGGCTGCCCACAGGGCCAAAACCACAAGGAGCTGGTTTGCTGACCAGGCCGCTATCCTAATCACAAAGATTTAAACACAAAAGAGGCTTGAAATATTTCACTTTATGTGTAATGAATCTTAAAATTTGAAAGTTTGACTTTTGTATTACAATTACGAGGAGAAATTAACATTTCCACGTTATTCAGATGTTTTGAGATGCTCCTGCCTCTTTGGGCCATCCAGGTAGAGTTATCCAAGGAAAGTTTAAAACCAAGGACAACAGGATTTGGTTAAAGAAACTCTCATCCGAGACCCTCTCTGGGACAGTTTGTCATGACACGTGTGATATTGACTCAGTGACAGTATGTGACTTACCCATATATCCATGTTATATTATGCAAGGTAAAGGTATGCAAGTAAAATAACAACAACAAAAAAGGATGTTTATTTTTGGAAAAATAATCTATTTTTACAACATGTAACCTAAACATTTTACTCAAGAAACATCATACAACCAGTAGGAATTGCAAAAAAAAATAACAATAAGCATTCAAAACAAAATCAGTGCTTTTTTAAATCAGTTTGATAAAGTGTTCTTAAAATATGTCTTTCCTCACAACAGGTAAATGTGCCGGTTTCTATGGGAATTCACTCCATGCTATTTCCTAACTTTTCCTGAAGATGTAAAAACATGTTGATGTGTTAAAACTTTTAACAACAGAATTGTGTCCTGGTTTTTTTGCTATGTAAGCAAGTAAGAAAATAAAACACATTTAATGGATAAAATGTGTCTTTAGTTTCAAAGGTAAATAATTCTGGCTCTAAAATATACTTAATAATAAATGTCTTGGATTGATTTTATTCTACATTTTTAGGAACTTTAGTGAAGACTTAAATATTTATAGACTGTGAATAGATGGATCATCATTAAATTAGGTGCATACACTCATATTCATGTTTCATATTCATCAGGATGAATTCTTTTCCTCTGGCACCATCATCAGGTCACATTTTTAATTGCCCAATACTTTGGTTTATGACCAAACAGCTTCAAAATTAATGACATTCCCATCAGCCTCAGCTGTACTTAGTTAGGAGTGCTAATTAGCAAATATTAGTAACATGCTAAACTAAGATGATGAACATGGTAACATTAAACCTACTAAACGCCATCATGTTAGCATTACTATTGTGAGCATGCTGACGTTAGCATTTAGCTCAACCAATGTGCCTCACTGAGACGCTGTAGACTACTGGTTCCCAAAGTGGGGTCCAGGTTCCCCTAGGGGACCTTGAGGGGGCTCCAGGGGGAACCCCAGCAAAAAGGGGAATAATTTATTTTCGCTATAATTTCATCCATAAGTAAGACAATGACAGAATGTATGACTGTTTTGGTAATGTTTTTCATACACTTTCTGTAATAAAACTCTGATTTCCATAAGCTATAAGCCGAAGTTATCAAGATTCAAACAAAAAAAAGGCCTGAAATATTTCACTTTATGTGCAATGAATCTAGAGTATATGACAGTGTCACATTTTGAATAAATCAAACTTAAATAAAATAACTTTTCCACGATATATGAGATGCACCTGTACATATAAAATGCCATATAAATTATTTTATTTTATTGTTTATTTGAAAAATGACAATGTACATTCAGAACAAATCTAATGTACCCGAGTTAGCTACAGGCTAGTTTCAGTTTCAGCAGTCGCTTTGCCCGATGTTATTAGGCATCCTGAAATAATAAACTGATATGTTACAATAAAATACATTATACTAGAGTTAAAAATTACACTGCAAAATCATTAACACATCACGCTTAAAAATTATACACAATTGATTAAACAAAATGAGCAGATAAACTGTAGAAGTAGATGATACCGTTATAAATTAAAGCTGCAAGCGTGTCGGGGAGTGACGCGCCTTTGTGGCGCTAGAGAGTAGCCGGTAACTGTATGTTATGTCCAAGTACGTCACGTGTGGAACAAAGCTTTACAACAGAAGAAGGCTTCATTTAGCTAAGCTTGACAGAGGTTTTAGATTTCTGGCCAATAATGAGCTTGACGACTAGAATACAATATCTGTGGCCCACATGGTCTGACTCCGTTTGGCCTTTTGTTGGTGAACATTTCAAAATGGACAGGAAGGCAGACGTTCTCAACTTTATCACAAGCCACAACCACATATTTCCTGAATTCTTTTTTACTTAGAATTTTACAGTTCGAGGTGACATTGAGATAATATACCAACATCTTTGAGTCACTTGTGCATAAGTTGTCGTGTTCATTATTAATAACGCCATGGCCGTTGCAGATCTTCTTAACGTTTTCCTCATCCGATTCCATGAAGAAGGTCTGGCGACGTCTTTTGCAGAGGTGCTTCATTCGTAGGTACCTGTGTAATGAGATCCAATGTTTCACTGCATAGCCTTTAACAATGTGAATAAAAAAGTAGTGCGATGCTAATAAATACTGGCAAATCGATAACAAAACAGTCGTTAGGTTCTCATTCTGCTGTGATGAATTTGGTCACTCAGCTGACACATTGGAAACTGAATTTAAACCCAGTGGAAACCCAGTATGTGGGTAAATAATTGAAAATATTCACTGCTTGTAAAATAACTCATTATGCAGGTGAATCATCTCAGTTATAGCATATCAACAAATAAAATTTAACAGATTAGTTAAAACTGATATATTTACAGTACGTGAGTATAATACTCCCACAAAGCAGTCAAAAGTTGCTATTTAATGTTCTAGTGTGTACTTTCCCAGTGTTATTTATTTTCAGATATTTGTTTTATTATAATATAAAACGATCATCACATCTGTGAAAAAATATAATAGATATACCGCCTGGTTACAGAACTCAGATTTAATATAATCATACCTCCACTGTTGCATGACGTCCACATACCTGGACCTGGACAAAAAATGGAGTTAGAATAACCATGCATTTAACTTACTTTTCCCATTCAGACGTTGATGATTTGTCAAAGGTCTCCTTAAGGATGTGTTTCCAAACAAATTTATTGTATGCATTGTTTTTGTTCTTTTTCTCACAAGGATGTTGATTGTGAGCCACTTTCTTGGGGGACCCATGAACAAGGATGAGAGTGAAAGTAATGGTGATCAGGAGAACGACATTCATGTTGTCTAGAGTAAGAGACAGAATGAAAGTTTTGGACCATTTTAATACGTTATTACTCAAAAACAATATTCAACACCAAGAAGTAATTGGTCAAATGCTGCATGTGAAGTGAATACCCACCAAGTGCAAAATGAAAGTAAATTAAGTATTGTCACACTGGCTTGATTTTTTTAAAGATGATATCATTTTCATATTATATGCACAGACATTGGGCTTTTCCAATATGCAAATCATTGTGAATGTCAAATTTGACAAAATTAAAAATGAGGCATTCAATACAATCTCAAACATAAAAAAGGAAGGTTGAATTTGTCACAAAGTTCAAATGGAAATTGTTTGAATGTTTTAGAATTGATTTACTTAACCTTTTGTTGAACTTAATTGTAATTAACTTAATTGTAAGATTTCTAGGATTTTATACTTGGAACACAAGTTAGGGATCATCAGAACGTTGCACCACAGAGCGGACAACATACCAACAAGTGCACAAGCCAGACAGAAGGAACAGAACCACCTGAAGGGGGCACTTACAGCCTGTGGATACCCTAAATGGACCTTTGTGAAAACCGTCACAAAATCCAAGAAGAAGACAAACACTACCGTGGATGAGGAGAAGAAGGTCAAACGCAACAACATTGATTCCATATGTGTCTGGAATATCAGAGAAACTCAGGAGGATTTTCAACATACACAACACCCCTATTTTTTAAACCCAAGAACACACTAAAGCTTGATTTATACTCCTGTCTAGGGTCTAGCCAGGCATTTATACTCGTGTGTCCGTGTGTCCGTCAATCTGCAACTACACCCCCAAACGCAAGAAAAGCAATATAGTGTATGTGGTCCAATGCAGTGAGGAATGCACAGACCTGTACATTGGGGAGACTAAACAACCACTACACAAACGCATGGCTCAACACAGAAGGGCCAACTCCTCAGGTCAAGACTCTGCAGTTTCTTTACATCTGAAGGACAAAGGACACTCGTTTGAGGATCGCCAGGTGCACATTTTAGATAGAGAAGATGGATGGTTTGAAAGAGGTGTCAAGGAAGCATCTACACCCGGGTTGAGAAGCAGTCGCTGAACAGAGGAGGGGGTCTACGCCACCACTTATCCCCCACTTACAATGCTGTCCTTTCATCACTTCTCAGGAAACTCAACAAACGTAACCTATTGGCCTCAGGTGAAGATGCCAACGATGGTCGTTCAGTCTTGGCCTCGAGTAGTCCTAAAGACCATAACGACTGTCGTTACCACAGCCAGGAACATTAACGAACCAGCAGTATCGACGATCCTAGCTAACAGGATGTTGACCTCAACCTTCGTTGGATATAATAATTTAACTGAATTAAAAACATTTTAATTCAGTTGGCAATGAGGAAGTTTTCTTACCTGCTCAGCTGGCCTCTGTAAATGTTGCTGCTTTAGTCTGGATGGGGATCTATGCTGTTTTAGTCTGTGCAAAAAATCCAAAAACAATTCTATTTTAAACCTCCTCTTGTCTTGTGAACATTTGAACACAACCAATCATTTAAACCTGGAGCAAAGAGTCAGTCAAAGTAATGCAGTCTACTTTTCCAGCATGTCTATGATAATTTCCAGTAAGTAAGTGCACAGTAGTGTAATGTGCATGTATTTGTAGACACCAACCAATTTCGACTTCTGTGAATGAGGAAGTGAACTTTTGTGGCCAGCTTTGTAGGCGTATGTGTGAAGCTGTCAGCCTGACTCACTGTTGGTGAGATCTAATGCAAGAAAATGCTTAAACAGAAGGCAGGTGTAGCGACAAGAGACCCACCTCAAGGAACCCCTCTCTCTCGGGTCACTATCTCCATCTCCATTATAAATTCAGATACCACTTAGGAAAAAGGGCGACCTCTGATAACAAGCTAATTTCAACACTAGGTAATGGCCTGACTGTCTGTATGGAATTTCTTATTCCAGATTCAAAAGTTTCCTAGTCAAGCCCTTCTTCCTCTCTCGCTTTAGATTCCAGAGAGTAGGGCACTGAACACATAACCTGGAATGAGCTCCTTAAAGGGCCAGTTTGCTGGTTATCTGTAATGAGGTGTGTTAGTGTAGCTAGTGTGGATGTTCAAGTAAGTAAATACTAACTTACCAGTCCAGAAGAAGTTTTCTAAAGGCGTCCACCCAAAGAGAAACTTATTCATTTTCAATAAGCCCCAAAAAGTTCGCCCAGAGCTCTAGGGTCAGCAACTTAAATAAAGAAATAGACAGGGAGGACCCCACCCTTTTCTCGAACAATCATTGGCTATCAGGACTTGATCATTATATTGATTGGTTTTGACATTACTTTTCCAGTTTTCTGGGTAGATGGTCCTTCTGTCCAGTAGTTGCAATACCCCTTTACCTCAGTTCACAAATGTTTCTCTAAATATGGTAATAAAACATATCATGCAGGTCTCTATAACTGATGTTAGGATAATCCTTTAAATGCATAAAGGCAAGATATGGTAGGCCACACTTCTCAAACAAAATAAATGAACATTCCTTCTCTTACATAGGTCGGATTGCCCTAAAGTGGGACACTGACTAATGTGTGTTTGTAGATCCCCCATTAATACATGCATGCCAGTGAATCTATTGGGTTTGCCCAAGCTGTGATCAAACTCACATCAGTCACTTATGAGGGTGGAGCAATCAAACAGGAGGCAATTTGTGTAAAGACCTCCCAATTGTCAGTGACAGAGTTTTGACAAACTTGATATCAAGGAATATAACTTCATTTAATTTTTTTGGCCCATTGTGCTTATAAAATGTTTGTCCATCAAAAATAGTATAACTTATGTTTAAACTATATATTTTATATTTTTGTTAAAGTGTCCCACTTTAGGAAATGTGGTTTCAAAAAGTGGGACAGTATGATTAACATAATGTTGTACACAGTTTACAGTTGTAAAGTACTTCAGTCACTCAAAAAAGTGTAGTGGGGCATGATTTGTGGGACAGGTTTTTAGTGGTCTTGTGCACATTTAGAATGCTGTACTACATGTTTAAGGTCATGCGAAATTGTTATTCTTTGAAAGATGGCAGTTTGAAGGCTTTTTATAGTTGTGTGTGTGAAGAGAGTAGGTGTCATAAGATGAAAAAACTAGCTCTGAATTTAAAAACCAATAAAGCCAGGAATTTGCACTAAGAGCACCAATATGTCTGTCATTTCCTTTAGGAATGTGTTATGTGAATTTTCTCTTTTAATTTGATTGGGAAACATCCTGGGGTTTTTTAAAATGGTATTGGGTGTTGATTTAATACATTGGCTTCACATCACAATATGCCACAGAATTCTGAAAAACAGAAAATGTCCCACATGAGTGCAATTCACCCTAATCTTAAATGCATGCACAAATGAAAATCCATTTTAAATGCATCACTCCAAATGCAGACTACATTAAATCAATTCATGTCAACACTCATTCTACTCTTCTCATTTCTTTCTGACTTTAAAAACGAGAGCAAATGAGGGTGCTTATCTCTTCACAACTGTTGATATCTCATTAGCAAATAGTGCCTTCTTTGCTGATCAAAACAATTATTTTGACATCATCAGGGGATACATGTCGAGAATGCTATCTCAAAAAAACAAGTTCTAAAATGTATTAAAGAATATTATAAACTCAAAAATAATATAGATTTAAAAGATGAAAACTCTTGACCTTCCTCTTAATTTCACACCTCTTTTCACGCCTCCCTTCACGTGAGCAAGAGACACACATCTGACGTCACGGAGACATTTTTTATTTGTCTAAAGGGTCGAGTTGCCAGCAAGAGCGGACTTTCACTTCCTCTTTACTGGACATCTGTGTCTAACCTGAAATATGATCATGTACAACCACAGGTCTCTGGAGGCCGACCAAAGGTAAGTGCACAAGAGATTGCAGAGACACATTAAAATATATAAAACAGTATATCAAACAAAACATCTTTCTTACTTTGTACTTTTTCAAGCTGAGCTAAGCAGTCAACAATTAAAAGTCTTAAAACACAGGCCATCAAAGTTAAAGCACAGGCGAATCATTTTACTATATGGCTTGTATATGTGTCAGGCAGTCAGACGGTAACTATGAAGGCCCCCTAAGAACCAGAACCAGCTGCTTCCAGTGTCCTTTTCTTCACATTTATCTCGTTCTCACAACACAGGGCTTCTTGTAAGTTCTTGCAAAAATACTGCCCATGATCTGCAACCCATCCAGTAAATTAAACAAATATCGAAAAGACATTATGTGAAACCCTTGAAATCCTTTAAATATAACAACAGCTACATGCATATAGTATTCAGTGGTGTGTGATGTTGATGGTCAGTTACCACAACCAATTAATGTCAAACATTGTTTTATAATGAAATGGAAAATATACAAACATAGTCATATCAGAATCAGAATCAGCTTTATTGCCAGGTATGTGTACACATACGAGGAATTTGACTCTGGATTGTACATTGCTCACGATGTGCTTACTTATACAAAAATACAAAATCACAATAATAAAAATAAAATAAAATCAGACAGACTTCAGTGTAGACAACACAAATATGAACAAAAACAATATAGACATATTGACAACTAGTGCAGTGAGCAGAGCGCAAAGGATGCAGGAGTATGAACATGTCAGAGGTGGATGGAGGTGTACAGGTACATATACATGCATACATGTACACAGTTCAATGAAGCATAGTGCAAAGGATGCTGGAATAAATAAGTATTTATATAGTATTTTCTGCAGGAGTAATGACTTGAGGTAGGTGGATTTGGTATACGGTATCTACAATATGACAAAATAAAACAGACAAAACAGTATGAACAGCACTGAAATAGAGAATGGTGAATAAATAATAAGTGTTAGCCAGTAAACAGGTGGCTGATTGGAGGCAGAGCTGGCACCGATGATCTTTTCTGCAGTCCTGACTGTCCGTTGTAGTCTGTCCTTGTCCAAACCAGACAGTGATGGATGTGCAGAGGACAGGCTGGATGATGGCTGTGTAAAAGTGGATCAGCAGCTCCTTAGGCAGGTTGAGCTTCCTGAGCTGGCGCAGGAAGTACATCCTCTGCTGGGCCTTCTTGATGATAGTGTCAGTGTTGGGCTCCCACTTCAGGTCCTGGGAAATAGTGGATCCCAGAAACCTGAAGGTTTCCACAGCAGACACAGGGCTGTTGAGTATGGTGATGGGGGGCAGAGTCGGGGGGGCTCCTCCTGAAGTCCATGATCATCTCCACAGTTCTGACCGTGTTAAGTTCCAGGTTGTTCTGGACGCACCAGAAAGCCAGCTGATCAACCTCCCGCCTATAGGCCGACTCGTCACCGTCCCGGATGAGACCGATGACCGTTGTGTCGTCAGCAAACTTCAGGAGTTTGACCTGCTGACTCCTGTCAGTCAGGAAGTCTGTGATCCACTGACAGGTGGAGGCTGGCACAGTTAGCTGGGTGGGTTTGGTGCTGAGGATGTTCGGGATGATGGTGTTGAACGCAGAGCTGAAGTCCAGTGTTGCAGGATGTGATGCAGACCCAAGTTGACTGCATCATCCACTGACCTGTTAGCCCTGTAGGCAAACTGCAGGGGGTCCAGCAGGGGGCCTGTAATGTCCTTCAGGTGGGCCAACACCAGTCTTTCAAAGGACTTCATGACTACAGATGTCAGGGCGACAGGTCTGTAGTCATTTAGTCCAGAGATGGAGGGGTTTTTTGGGACCGCGATGACTGTGGAGCGTTTGAAGCAGGAGGGAACTTCACACAGCTCCAGTGATTTGTTGAAGATGGGGGCCAGCTGGTCCGCACAGATTTTCAGGCAGGATGGAGACACACCGTCGGGGCCAGGAGGGTGAGGGGTCAGAGAGGGTGTGTGTCAGGGGGGGAAGGTGACTGTTTGAAGATGCGTTGGAGTGGGGGGGAGGTGTGACTCTGGGCTTTTCAAACCTACAATAAAAGCCATTCAGCTCGTCTGCCAGTCGTTGAGTACCAGCAGTGTTGGGGGATGGTCTCTTGTAGTTTGTGAGTGTCCGCAGGCCTCTCCACCTTGAGGCAGAGTTGTTGGCTGCAAAGCTGTTATTTAGCCTTTCAGCATAGCACCTCTTTGCAGCTTTGATCTCTTTAGTCATTGTGTTCCTGGCCTGGTTGTACAAGACTCTGTCCCCACTTCTGAAGGCCTCCTCTTTGGTCTGACGAAGCTGCCTGAGTTTCGCTGTGAACCAGGGTTTTTGGTTGTTGTATGTGCGGAAGGTTTTGGTCGGCACACACATGTCCTCACAAAAACTGAAGTAAGATGTCACAGTGTCAGTTAGTTCGTCCAGGTCAGTGGCTGCAGCCTCAAAAACACTCCAGTCAGTGCAGTCAAAGCAGTCCTGTAACTCCAGCTTTGACTCGTTGGTCCATCTATCAGTTTTTACCTGTGTGTCGGGATAAGATGAACCAGACAGTGATCAGAGAGTCCCAAGGCTGCACGGGGAACAGAGCGATAGGCGTCCTTTAATGTTGTGTAGCAGTGGTCCAGTGTGTTAGTGTCCCTGGTGGGACACTTAATATGCTGTCTGTACTTTGGGAGTTCGTGGCTGAGGTTTGCTCTGTTGAAGAAAGAACAATGAGCAGGGAGTCTGGATGTTTTCTCTCCACGTTAGTTATCTGGTCGGCCAGGTGTAGTAACGCCTCACTAACACAGGCC